AGCCTGCTATTAAAATCAACAGTTTGTAGATAAATATTTTCATGTTAATATCCTGTTTAGGTTTATATAAATATTAGGCAACTGAAAGCTATCAGGGGACCAGTCAAACTGTTCTTCAAGGCGTCCCACACATCGTTCTAATCCCCCTGATCTATGAGTGGATCACTATCTCACACTTTTTGTAGAATTAATCTCACTACCGCTTGAATTTTTGGCCTTTGTCAATGTGATAAGTCTAATAATTCGCATATTGTACCAATTACCTCTGCCTTTCCTATCTCTTGTGCCTTCGCTGCTCATTAATTTCTCGCAGCAATTATGTTATAAAAACACTACAATCCACTACAAAACTAATGATATATGGACGTATATTTTCGGATCGCAAATTATAGTATAATCAGGCAGCTTGCATCTGGTGGTGCTACAAACTTCTGCTACCTCAGAATCACCTTAAAAGAACACTTATTTCTCACTGGCTAATCAACAATGAAACTAGTTATTCACATTGGTTCCAGGATATCGTCATAAAGTATTGTCATGACTTACCAATCACCTAATATTGCTGACGACATTGATGAAACGATCGACAAAGTTGGTCAACAAATTGACTTGTAAGTATCACTGAATAATGTTGCCTTCTCGTTATCTTCATCTATTACAGATCATTTCAGCATGTTGGTTTTGTTGGTTTGCTTGTTGGTTTAACGACAAAAACACTCATGCGAATCATTAGTATAAGCAGCCAAGCAAGCCTCTTACAAAATGAAAATATCGCTATCGAATTTATCACAACACTGACTACAGTTCATATCATTATCAGAGACATGAACCGGTAGTTGTATTTCCATTAGGTACGACTTATGTTCTCCATTATAATCACATAAGCATCGCTCTCTGTCAATCATCTTGTAAAAACTTACTTAACCAAGAGCATCGCACAATACCATGTCACCTTTATTTGTGGCACATAGGCATCGTCGATTTCAATGATTAATAATCAACATCGACACAACATGGATTCTTTTTCTATTTCTAAACACAAAATAGTTGTACTACCTACAAGTTAAGTTATTACTACACATTTTACTGCGACTTAATAAAATACATTCACACGAAAACATTCCTAATTATTATAATCTCACTTTGCATATCTCTTAAATAATCTCCACCAAAATTTTCATTTTGCGCGCGTTAAGAACCAAACCAAACATTCTGAAATTATAACGTGTATTTCCCGACCAGTTGCTGGAAGCTTCTTTTTGATTTATCTTTCGGCTTATCAACAACCGAAGGGTTCTAGCACTATATTTTATTTTATAATCACACATAATCCCATGCTCTCAGCTCCTTTCCGAATTGCCTCCATTTGTCAGTTGTATGTCTACTCACATCTTGTTAACACTTATTTTCTTTAACCTATTAAAATGCTCTTTCTTAGCAAATACCTTAATAAAGGAACATTAGACTGAGTAATCATACCTTAAACATTCCTTCATGAATATTGGCTACTCTGCCTCTCGTCCTTTCTTTTACTTGCTCCCTCTTTCAGCCCCCTTGAGATATGGAACGAGTGACTTCATCCTGCACCATCCTTAAAGCCTTGGATATCCCAAAGGGACATAAGGTTGCGATTTCTAGAAGTTCATACTTTCAATGGACCTATCCTTGACCATCAGTAGCACATTCGCAACTCAACTTTCATGAAGCGCGCCAACTGTAGTACTGATTAAAACCATCTACATTCATATCTTATAAATTATCAACCCAGCTATGTAATTTACTACAGTGTATATTGTATCATTTGTATCAATTTGATCTTGCCTGTAAACTGGCATGTCTCATGTAACAAACTGTTATTTGAGAATAAATTATTATTATTATTATTCTTTGTAACTCCCGGTGTGCGACAATCTCTTTCGATATGGCATCGAAACAACATCATTCTTATTCTGGTTGGAAAGTGGTGTAGTGGCACTGGTTCTTCACTACGCGACCTTTAAAGCTGAGCATATAAATACTGAAAAGAATTAGTTTCAACAACTGACACGAAGAGAAGCTTAACTATGGAGAACACTGAAACATTAGGTTTATTCTATTGGATAACACGGCTCAGCCTTGCAGACATGGTCATTCTTGTGTGACTTACCTCTTATTCGTATTGGATATATATTATTCTATCTTTAGCCTAAATTTGTTCTTCAGAAATATTAGACCTAATATTTCTGATTCTTATGATACAGTGTAGAAAATGTTTCGAATTATTTGAATTATAGCACTAACTAAGAGTCCCAGAAATAACTCAATTGAATTAAGAAGTCACAAGCACAACCGAATGTACTGTATTTGGAATTCGAAATTGTGCAATCGACATGTACAAAATTATCATTAGTCAATTCAAGCACTACATCCGCCACAGCTTAAATAAAAGTATAAGTGTTTGCAATCGGTTGTATGTCTTCTTGTTAAGTTCATCCTGATTCTGTCCGACATTGTATTGGATGAAAACTTTGTAGTATCTAGAATGTGCTCATTAGTACTGGAATTAACAAACGAAATCAGAACACACTAACCTGGAATTGTATACAATCAGCATGTCGGTTTTGTACCGAAATCATTAATATCTAGAATTGGAACCATATATTTTTCAACACTTTCCTCCCCCCACGAAATAATGTTGGATCTTTATATCCCCAAGTTATGAATAATGTGACTTCATTTAGAACATATTTCTTACATTGGCTAGAGTATACATTGGAAGTGGATTTGTGATAAGGATGAACAGCAGTTGGTATGAAATCATCCAAATTGTAATCAAAATTGAGCTCACTTAATACTCGTGCTTCGTATTGAACAGGTTTTTCACAAGGATCAAATGCATTATAAGGATAGGTAATACATGATATAAAATAAGGATTTGATTCTTCTGAAATATTCTCATGAAATTCATTAAGAATGCCATTGCAGAGTAATGGATCATTAGAAAAATTAGCATCTATCAAAACTACATCAAGTTTTCGATCATAATTATGTTCACTCAACATATTTTCTTCAGATTTGCAAGGAATTTCATCGGAAATATGTGAATAATTAGGAAAGGCCATACCTGGTACAATAGCATGAGAATTCTGATAAATCGATTGGTGAGAAACTGTTGTTTCGCAAGAATTCTGAATTTGATTTAACTCTGAACTGCTTTTTGACTCTACACTGTCTATTGCAATAGTTGATAAAGATAAATCATCATTATAAATACTCGACTCAGTAGAATCAGATATACAAGACATAATATTAGTTGCAGTAAGATCAACATTAGTATTACAGACTGACTGAATATGTTTAATATCACCACATTTAAAGCATTTAGAATTACGAAATTTACATGAATTAGAAGCGTGGAACTTGCCACAGGACAAAAATTGACCAAACTTGCGCCAATCTTCGTGAAACGCACTGTAACTCCTCAATGAATTATCTGCATAACCTTGAGTATGTACTGGATTAGGATAACGTGATGTAGTAGAATTTTTGATGTCCTGATGAATCATTTTAGGAAATTCCCTTTCTTTACTGCAATCAAAATTTGCATACCTGATATGGTCTAGTAGTAATGCCTTGAGAGTTGTATAAGGAAGCGAAATGGGCTTTTCCGGCATAGCCAGAGTTCTTAAGAAGCTGTATGCTTCTTTACCGATGAATGTGAGGAAATATGCCACAATATTAACATCCTCATCATCTTCCTTGGTCATGACCCAGATTTCGAATCTTTCGAAGTAATCCTCAAAAGCTTCAGAAGTTGAATGAATGTCTAACTTTTCCATTGCAGGCTCAATCGCGGCGCCAATATAATGTTTCTAATTATTTGAATTATAGCACTAACTAAGAGTACCAGAAATAACTCAACTGTATTAAGAAGACACAAGCACAACCGAATGTACTGTATTTGGAATTCGAAATTGTGCAATCAACATGTACAAAAGTATCATTAGTCAATTCAAACACCACAAAATGGTGTGACCTCCGCATAAGCTGCTACATATTGGATGGTCACATCTTGAGAAATCTGTGCTGTAAGGATTAGATCCATCATTATAGAAGCATTAATAACGAACTTACACCATAATTCTACGTATAAACCTCACACAACAACTTCATACAGTATATTACGTAGCACTTGTAACATTTTTATCTTGCCTGAAAACTGACATCCTTCACGTAACAAATCATAAGTTAGAAACAAGTAATCAATATTATTCATACTAATACTGTTTTTCAATCGAAAGGCTAGTCACTTTTACTAGGGAATTCAGTGATATACACTCGATGGAACAGTCGTGACTAGTTTGGCTTAATCGTTAGCACCTCAATGCAGAAATTGATCAATCTGTATTCATTAGGCTCAGATAATTATGAATTTAGTGTCCTGAAATGCAAAAAATGAAGATAAAATCAAAAGATCCTCAAGCAGTCTAAGCTATGATTGTCTTGAACTGTAGCCATATACGTATGAAGTTCATTCAAGTTTAATTAAATTAAACTCAAGCGTAGAAACTATGGACGTAATTTGTTGCACTTGGTGGCAGTTTAACTAAATACTCTATCATTCATGATGAGTCAACCGCCGTTGCACAGTAGCCAGAATTAGAGCACACGTAAGCTTTTTACAAAGAACAACCATTGGATAGCCTCTGATTACCTTGAACCCTCTATAGTTCACTTGAAACTCAATAATCAAGACAGGTAGAGCATCTGCTTAGCCCCCGCACCTTGTCACAAACCAATTGAATTTATAAAAGCTCGATTGACCACATGTCTTTCTGCTTGATGAGAAACACAAAGCATGTTGAAATCACGACAAACGTATACATCAAATGATTCGAGACGTGGGGAGCCATTTTTGAGCCATTTATTTAACACTGTAGACTGAATTGAAGACAAACGTTGGACGGTAGGAAGTGAAAGGGAAAAACTCCGAACTCGTAGCAGCTATTTTGTGTCCCTAAATGAGCCGTAATCACAACAGCACTACGAAGCGAAATGATCAAAAACCAGCAAATAACATTCATATCGATCCCAACAACGGCATTTGCAATGAGAATTTAAACCAAACGAAGCCAAACGCAAAGCAATATATGCCATTTACTACAGCTTACGGTGATGGTAGAAGTATTGCAAATGCTGCCATTGGTGAGCGAATTTTTTGCTAGTTATCATAATTGTCAGAAACATGTTGATTACACCTAGACCTTGTTATAGGTTTATTGAGCATTAAAGTAATTAGGGTGGCGCGCTGTGGAAGGTTATTCATTACAGTGGGTTTCTCCCAAAGTTGTCCTATATTTTCTAATTACTACAGAAAGCGACTACTCAAGTCAAGGAAGTTTTTTTGCATCTTCGGGGTACGTAATCTTGACAAATATGATAGTTCTTCACTACGCTGTGATAACGTTCGTTAGGGCTTGAAATGTGCTGCAACCACCCGATCTCAAGATTGGGATAGGGATCCCTATTTCGGGAAAAGGTCTATCCGTTTTGGGGAAATTTTAAACAATCTGCTCTATGAAATTCCGGGGAAATAGCACAACAACCCTAAAATTTCCCTTGATCTGAGGAATTCCCCAAAACTTTGGGGAAGACAATTGAACTTTGCGGAGTTTTCCAAAATTGGGAGATTGGGCAGGATTGCTATCAATTTATCAAGCAAATGGCTTGGTTAAAATCAGAGTTAATCTGCAAGTTTTATTGCTTGACAAAAAAGTCACGATACTTATAATGTTTACATCACGAATTGACTTGCTGCCAAAGATCTATCTTAAATCTTGTCGGTTCGTCAGTCTCGTCGAAATTTCAGACGATAATACTTTATAGGTCTCGAAACTAAATTATTTTGTATCGATATTTGATAAAGTCGTACCAAATGTTTAATGATCTTGTGTAACAGTTCGCCCTCTTTGTCTGATTCTGATATTAGTTGGTATTTATATTGTTACTCTACCATTAAATCTACCTGTCATTATTTTTAAGATTCCGGCATTTAGCACAGAAGATTCCAATCTAATCTCGACAAATTCAACTTAACTCTATCCTTTCAAGGATCCATTCGTGAGTAAAATCCAAACGCGTATAGAAGATGGTTGAGGTTAACGATGGTCGCCATTTTAAAAATCCTTACCAGGATTATATGCCTGGAGACCAGCTTAAAGTACTTTCAGTATTTACTTGTGCACCACGTTCCAGGTGGGAGATACAAACATCCCAAACAAAATTGTCGAACTGTTAAATGTTCTGAATTCGAATTTCGAGAAGTTATCGTCGTCTGACGTATCAATGTACACGGGCTTGTCAGGTGAGTGTTATGTGTTTTAGTCATCCTCAGTCAGTGAATCAGTCATATGCAACTTCGAAGCTGACATATTTATGAATCGGTTCAAGCTGAAACATACCATCAGAACAGCGAAACGAGACTGTCAGGACATGTCTCAGAAAAGTAGATATAGTAACAGTATTAGTGGTAATGGGAGAGATTAGGTGTGGAAAGTACAATTCGAGGAAATATGAATTTGTGGAATGAAAACATGTAAAACAGTTTAGAGATTTCATATCTAACGGAATGCACCTGTGACATTGCGAACGATTTTAAGCCACATCACCCAAAGTCTCTAACAATCGGTCAAGACAATCACGCAGACTTACCAGACAGTCTGAACTTAGTAACATGGCCCATTGCAGTGTCTTAATGTATTTGAACTAAGCCATGGTTTCAGATTGAATTAAATGACTAATCAGAAATGTGAAGACTTTTATGCGTGTATAATGGATTTTATGTTTTCCTTTGTTTACACATACAGGTATTGTATTTTTGTAAGACATTAGGTGTGACTCCCAATGTCACATAAGTATATAGTGCTTCCACCACATCTATTCCGACTTATCAATCATTGAAAGTCAAGTGACTGACTGGCTAATTCGATCAAGTGTTGATTCATATACCAGATATCTAGTCATGTCATTTGAATAAATGTATCAGGATATACCCTTCAATTTAAAGTAACAAGTCATAATCAGATTCTTGGAGAAATCCACCTGTTTATATTCTGTACTGCTACTGATGTACTACATTTAGTGTTAAAAAATATAACGTATGGACCATTGAGTCGACCAGTGAAATCCGTCACTGATCTTTGTTAGTGTAGTTGAACTAACGATGTTCATTTGTAAAAGCTTTCATTGAATGTTGCTAGTACTGTGTTCCAGATTGGTCGTATTCCATTGTTTTGATACTTTTTGCAATTTATTCGGGACCATTCAAACCCACAAACAAACGTCTAGTCATTGAGCTGTAAGAAATGTAAGCGTATACTTTAGAATTTGTGAATAGTATGCGAACCACTCGATCAATTTGTGTGTCTTTCTATTTGTTTGTAGGTGTTGGACTATTCTACAATTTCCTATCACAATGCAAATGTGAATTATTAGACAGAAAGATACGTGAAAATGGTGTTGTGTGTACTGAGAAGTTGTTAAATCGATGTCTCCGTCACATTGACTTAAAAGAGTTGTCTAAAAATATCAGTGTTTACACTAGCCCGATCGGTCCACTGTGTTTAGGTGCTTTATCATCAGTCAAGCATGGAAGTGAGAATACAGAGGCAAAGAAGTTCGTAGAAGACATTTTGTCGGCGAGTAAATATGGCTTGGATGTGGACTGTGGGATGCCTGATGAAGCGTTATATGGACGTACTGGCTATCTAAATTGTTTGGTAACACTTCGAGAAAATAATTTCGACATCCCTGTTTCTGTTGTCTCGTCGGTATGTGTTTGTGTATTTGTTACTGCTTTTGAAGTGTTTATTAATGAATTGTTTGTGCTTGATTGTGCAGAGGTGAATTACTAGAGAAGTGAATGGGAAGGTTTATTGCTCCAGTGTTGTTCTAGATAATTTGTCGGTTTATGAAACTGGTTCAGTTGAACAAGCCTTATAATGATGTGTTTGTGATCACAATACCACTGGCGAGTTATTACAATGCATGGCATAAATCCGTTTCTCATGACCAATACTAATCGTTAAAGTACAATCATCCGTTTTACGTTCCATAAAAATATTCAAGTGACTCATACTGTAACGTTTTACTAATCTTTCAAGAATTATTTCTTGTGATTGTTTGTGCATAAAGTTACGGCATTTCACTATCTGAATAATGAATTTGTGTGTTTTTCCGTGATATGAAAGTAGTAACACTAATGATAACAGTTTTACTTTAGATAACCGATGCTATATTGAAGTCTGGTCAGAAAACAGCTGGTGCTTACAAATCGAATGGTTTTTATGATCGATTGATGTATCAGTCATCGAAACGAAATTTGTGCATGCCACCGTTAATATTTGAATGGTATAATGAATGTTATCTTGGTGCGGCGCATGGTTTTGCTGGTATCTTGACTACTCTACTGAAGGTAAGTTATTTGAATATGATGCTATTTTTGGTTGGTTTCTAATAAAAGTCATTGAATAACTCAGCTGCTTATGAGAAGATTGTTGATGAACATAAGTTAAATAAGCTTCACCAGTGTACTGGCTACCAGTGACACTTAGAATTTGATTTTGTGGAAAGTATGACTTGTAACTAATTCATTGCTACTAAAATAAAGAAGTTTGACATTCTGCTCTTTGCTTACTAGAGCTTGGATTGTGTTTGTTGATTAACTTTGTCTTCCTTTTATTCATCTTAGTTTTGATATCGAGCATTCATGTAAACTTATCAGACATAAGACAAAATAATAATGTTATATACTAGTATATTATCTATGGTGGTCATTATCTTCACTGGATTAGTAGAACAGTTTTCTAGAACTCTATTGTCTACTTAGGCAAAGTACGAATTACTATTTATATTATTGTTGTTGAGTCTTGTGTCATTTCAGTTTCGATTTTCTTTTCTTTCAAAGGCATATCATTTGTTTCCTGGTAGCATATCATCACATTCCTTAAATCAGTTAATTCTACCTACTGTCGATTGGATGAGTCAACTTCAGTTATCCAACGGAAATTGGTCTCCTAGTTTAGGTGATAGCGAAAGTCATGACATATTGGTTCATTGGTGTCATGGTGCAACGGGTGTTATTCCACTTATGCTCTCAGCTTACAAGGTTGGCTATAATATTTTAGTAAATGATTTAATTATCGTCAAATAGTATATCCTATTGCAATGAAAGCATATTAGACGTTTAAATATATAACTATCATTTTAAAAAGTATGAAAATCGAATTCGCAATATATAGTGTACATGAACTCAATGATTTCAACAAGATAACTAGTATATAAACTGAATCTAATCATCATTTGCTATCGGAATGCATGTGCTGACGTTTCTTATTCACCTCCTGATTAAGTGATTATCTAAGAAAGCCATTTACCTTGAACATTTGTTTATTATTACCAAATACATATGCGCCACACAAATCTCATTTAATATTTGCGAGAGCTGTCATACTGCCCGGGTGCCCAGAGTGAAACAGGTGGTTTTCTTAGGGGACCCCACCCGGAGCCTTCGACGTAAAGGTCTGATCCACAAGGCAGTGGAGCAATGTCAGGAGATGCATTCCCATGGTAGTCGGTGACCAACGACTGGTCCATGCGCCATTTTTCCCCTCTGGATACTGTGGCCCATGTGCGCCATTGGTTTGGAATCAGCATTTTTCAACTCCCCTAAACGGACTCTCCATGTCTGCCAACCCTGTTAAAGCGCCGGACATTCGCTTTTTGTCCTCTGAATTTTGTAATCAACACCCCTGGTGTGAGAATGCATTGAGTAGGACTTGTGTGGCAGAGGCTATATACACGTGGCCATGTGAGAGCATTTCGAGAGGGTGAGCGGACTCTCCCTACTCTCGGCCGTACTAGGGCATTTAGGGGCAATCTTGAACCGTATAACCTGGTAGTATTGCGTCTTACATAAAATGCTGGATTTTTCGAAAGTACTCTTAATACACAAAATAAATCATAATACATAAAACCTATATGTACTGTCTCGTGACAAAATGTTTTATGGAAACGTTGTTGGACGAGAGTTTTCTGAGCAAGGCTATGAGAACAAATATTTCGTGTCTAATCTGTAATAGGATTATTATTATCAACCACCAGTGAGTCTATGAAGTGGCAAAATAGGAGTTAGAAACTAATCAAACTGCACTTAAAATATTCTCCTTTTATTTAGATAGATATGTATGATTTTTAAAGCTATCGGTAGTTTGTTTACTGTTATCTAACTTCTGTGTTGTTACATTCTATAGATTACAGGTGAAAATAAATATTTGAAGTGTGCATTAGATGGAGGAGAAGCTGTATGGACTCGTGGTCTACTTCATAAAGGCTGTGGTCTTTGTCACGGTTCAGCTGGTAGTGGTTTCGCTCTATTAGAGATTTATCAAACAACTCAAGATCCCAAATATTTGTATAGAGCTATAAAGGTTGGTGTCAGTTCAGTGACAGTGGTAGTTCAATGCATTTAAAGTATATGTATCTTTTCTTTTGTTTTCTGAATATGTGTGTATTACAAACTTTACAATGTGTCATTATATTTGTTCTGTATATTGTGTATAGTTTGAAGTACAACATTGTAGTGTTTCACTTGAAATCCTCATTTTTTCTGTTCACTATTACGTGTTTTGAGTGGATGGTGTCTGAATTCACTTACCTTTACTCTAATTTGTAATGATATTGTAAGTTGGTGAGGTACTGGTGTATATTCACGTTACTCCATAATTATCATACTGTTATATTTTATAGTGTGAATGAGTGTATTTTGTTAGGTTATTTGTGTATAGTTGTGGGTAGATGATTTATGTTATGATCTGTTGAGTTAGGGGTTGAAAACTATTGGACTGTTCTATGTTTATGTAGAACTGTATTACAGTCATAACAAATATGTATCATAGATGTAGTTTGTAGCTGAACGTACATGTGGTCACTGTGTTTTTCAATCATTAAATAGACGCAAAGCTAGCTGTATTTGTACCGGATAATATGGAAATACCGGTTCCCCAATGTGTCCAAATAAAGTGAGTTCCTTGCCTGGATTTCTTATTTACCGTCTTCAAGGTTCTCATTTCCCTGTTGAACACTACCTGTCATAGGTCTCACATCTTTTCATAATCTCGTGTTGTATTTAAATGGTCGTCACCTATCGAGGCGTTCGACATTGGAGCAGTTGGTCGCCACTCAGTTATTTGTCATTAAGAACTGTTTATCGACCCATTGATTTGAACTGACTGCTTCGGTTGAACTAATTCATTATGGTGTTAAATCAGTTGTTTAACTGGTTCCATAATCATAATAGCGGTTACCTTTGAGTGATTGTTTAGTCAACATCTCGATGATCAGATCGGTGAACGTAATATTCATTTGGCATGATATTTTTTTATCTTAAGCATCTGTGAAGATTTATGTGGCTTTTAGAATAGTCAACCAGACAATTTAAATCAAAAGAAACTCATGATTGTTCAATGTTTTTACATTTGCTCTCCAGTTTGCTGAATGGTGTACTGACTGTTTTAAAAATGCTACTCGCGTTGCTGATCGTCCGTACTCACTTATGGAAGGTTTGTTTAGTGTGCTTTTCCATTTGTAACTAAGATTAATCCCTCTTGTTGCTAATATAGTTTCACACTAATATTACACGTTAGTCCTCATTTAAATGGTACCCACCAGGAGTCTGTGGAGTGTTGTGGAAGGAACTAACTTCGCATTGATGTGTCTACTTTTGAGTAGTGATATTGCGATAGAAAAGTCACACCTTTTCATCGGTTAATTGACAGTGACTCGTATCAAGTTGTTAAAGTGATGATAGCCTACTGATCGGAATGTGAATGGTCAATGTATTTTCGATGTGCGGATAGTTGATATATCGGAACATCTGGAGAGTGTGAACACAGAATGAATGTATGGAAATAGACCTAGAATTGTGTTGAGTTTTCCAGTTGTTAGCAACTAGTAGTGTATTGCTCAATTGAAACTACTCACTTTTCTGATCTGTTAGGATTTTCAGTTGAAATGATTGAATAGGGAACTACTTCCAATTTCCATCTCCGCACGTAATGTTTTCTAGTGCGTAATCAAGTATCACTGTTCCATTCATGCTGTCTGAATTTGTCATGGAGAAGGGTGTTAGTGATTTGATTGGATCGAATTTTCGACAGTTAAATCAATGAATAAAATGCTAATCGACGGATGAGCACGATGATGGCGAGTGTGACCGAGTGGTTTGCTAACGTGACTGTATTACCGACGGAAACCGCCAAGTGATTGTAAATCAGAGAGAAAACGACTAGCCAGATGAATATCTTCCATATGTGGTAAAATAACATGGTTATGCAGAGACTATGAGCACATAATAAGCATGACAAACTGTCACAACCAATTGGAGTTAATTAACATGTAGGTCGTCGATTATGCAATCAATTAAGGTTTGACTGTTAGTCCTAGTCTTTGTGCATTGTAAGAGAAGTGTAGATGTATGCTGGATTTAAAAATGTTATGTGTTAACAATGAAGTCATGTGTGAGACAGATGTCCACCACAGGCAATGGATAATGGGGGTTGTGCGACATTGTGAATTGGTTGAAGTTAATCATTCACACTGTTGGATGACGGCTGGTTTCGATTCCCGTGTTTTGAGTCATGGATGTGCATACGTGAGGAGTAGTCTTTAAGTAGAGTGAATAATAGTTGCCATCGTCACAGTGTATTCTCCTCCTCTTGTCATGAATACTATTCTATCGTAAAACAACAAACTATTCGATCTTCTCATTTCCAGTTTGTTATGTGGAAAGTTGACTATTATTTATCGGTTTGACTGAATTGTATTTATTATTTTGAAATGATAGTTAGTTCAGTGTAACAGTTTGTTTTTTGTGTTCATATTGTGTGTTTAGGTCTTGCTGGGACACTGTACTTCCTTGTTGGTATTTTGGATCCAGTTAATTCGAAGTTTCCTCTACTAAGTGGATTGTGAATAGAAAGAAACAATGATTTTATTTATATCTATTCAACTAACTTTGTTTGTTATTTTGTATTCACATCTATTTGTTCATCATTCACTAAGTTTATGAGAAAATGTTATTTAAGTCTCGTGTCTGCCGAATAGTTCACATTTGTTTTAACGATATTATATTCAGTGTATTTTGTGTTGTATACTCTGTTTAGTCTAAACCCGTGTGTGAAAATGCCAGTTTAAGGCATACTGTGTATATTTAATGGTGTTGATTGTTTGAATATTTGATGAGCATCGTACTGTGTTTGCGTTTGTTTTCTTTTAAGTTGATAGGAGAAGTGAGTAGTCTGACAAGTAATGGATATGGAGAAGAGACGTGGATGGGTGTATACATATGGTGAAAACATTGTTAACTGTAATGATGTGTTATGTTTTTTGTAATTTCTGTTGGACGTTGAGAGCTGGATCATAAGAGCGAATTTTTGTTAGTGTTGAAAGACAGTTGTTCGACCAACATGGTGTGTGTATAGGTGTGATGATATGAGATTTGTTTTGCCTCCGGATCAACATTTCGACAAACTAAATCAACACTTAACAACTCATGGTTTGTAGTTTAAAAGTCATTTTAATATTTCATACATGTATTGTTTGGACGTATTTTGCAATGAATCATGCCCATCGAAAAGTCATTAAGTGTCCAGTAAACTCTTGGGAATATTTTGTCGAATCAGGACTGAATGAGCGTTTCTTCGGAATATTTTAAAGGGAAGTCACGGTTAGCGTAATAAATATAGTGTGGTGTGTGCTACTTATACGGACAGATATAAGTAGTATGTGGTGGTTATGGGAAGTTACTTCCTTGCTGGGAGAAGAGGGGAAAAAGAAAAACAGAGCACTGGTAATAGCAACAAGAATGGAGGCACGATCGGGTTTGTAAAGGTCAACTGAAGGAAGGTGTGCAAATGGTGTGTTAGATGTATTGTCTTTATATTTTACGAATTCAGTATAAATTAAAGACAGTGTATTTAGTTTACGCCTTCCCATGTCTTCGTACTTAATAATCGGTGTCGCTGTCACTACGCAGGATGAAGATTCCGTGCCCACTGGAGTTCGAGGAAGGAGTGTGTTGCGAGAGTTTGGGACTGGTGCGTAGGTGGCAGGTGTGTAGAAGCCTAAGGTGGTGGTGCTGGAGACGCTAATGAGAGACAGCAAAATGGGTGTATGACAGCGTGGATAGTGCCGGCAGGAAGATGGCATGGGAGGTAGTTACGGAGCGGTTGTTATAGACTCTGACAGCCAAGTTTACTAGAAGAAGGCACTGAAGAAATTCACGGTGAATTTCGATCTGTTAGTGTTTCCAGCGTGTCTAACCTTATTGTTACTTCGTGAGCCGTCGATTTTGAATGAGTTTTCTGTCGCCTGACTTGCTGGAGTCGAAGTTTATTGTGAACTACAGGATGAGTTAGCCGCAATACGAATAAACAAGTGCAGAAATAATATATGTTAAGCTTGCGAGGGAACATGCCATTAGAAGAGAGACTGAAAGCCGAAACACATTGTTTGCATATCTTCCTTGGGTTGACCATTACAAACACTACTGTTATTTCATTACTGTTGCTAGTACCATTGCTTTATGTTTTTCTCCTCTCTGTATTATCTCCTTTTCCAGAAAGAGATTAGCTCCCTATATCTGTCCGTATAAGTAGCACGTACCACAGTGTTTATCATGATTGTATAACTTTCTACACGATCAAAGTATGATTATATTGAATATCGACCAGCAAAATTTAATAATATGTAATTATGTTAGCTATTTCATGACTGGTCATCTACCATTATGTACGCGTCGAAAATTGTTTTGTTGGAATCGCTTATACTTGTAAAATGAAGAACCACTGCAGCTTTCACAACGCGATGTAAGAACATCAACACTGGCACAAGTGAAGTTTTATTAACGCCCTATACACGACAAAGACTAGTCGAAAATACACTTGTTACATATATTGACTGTACACCTATTTTAATTATTAATAAGGGTGAAATCACATATTTTTTTTAAAAATACCCCAAGTTATAATGAATTACATTTTATGCTGAACATAGTTCATGTGAATTCAATAAAGGAATATCGTATATTAAACAAACATTACACTTAGATAAATCATTGTTATACTGAATGATAGATTATACTGGAAAACGAAAACAAAATACTACACTGAATAGTTATCACATTAAATTAAAAATACAGAAGTAATATCGTACAAAAATTACAATGAATGAAAGAATGCAATTTTGCATTTTAGTCCCACCATATCACTTCCCCTTCTTTCTAATGGAATGTGAAGAGATAAGTTCTTTATGGAGAGTATTTGAACGGTTTTTGTTCTTTTTCTTATTTGCAGGGACCTTGGCTGGTCATGTGGTCATATTTCAGCTTCCAGTTGGTTTTCCGTCTTCATTTTAGAAAAAAAAATTTAATTAACGTTCTGCTCCTTCGTTCAATGCATACACAAATCTCTCTCCCCCACGAAACAACGTTGGATCTTTATGTACACACGTCACATATAATGTGACTTTATTGACCTGAACTGTTTCAACACTACTCACACCTTCATTATAATAGAGTATTAAGACGTGTAGGTATACATGAAAGTTGAAGGATCCTTGTGTAAGATCTCGATTTGTATGGGTAATATTATATGTGGTGATTTCTCTGCCTTTCATAACAAAAAATTAATGCCATTATTCCATTCACAATACGACTCAGTACATTTTACATTCCGACTTGTCAGTAAAAGTGCATGTGATTCATGTAGGGTCGGTTTGTTTCCAAACCATTTGAACGGGACATTGTTTCTGCATCATACCCATTAGGATCAGTATGTAATTGCATTCTACGTACAGGTATATTGCAATCGGACTGACATTGAATTATTGGAAGTGTATACTTTTTTGCATGTGACATTCACTCTGTCCGAATAAACGAGATAGATATCATCGGATTCGTTGGATATTTGTATATAGCTATAACATATTGAAATTTGATAGCTACACAATCAAGTTTCCAGTACTTTGTGTAAATTGTTCGTATTTAACATTTTTGGCGAGATGGGATTCGCTCGCTTGTTTTCTTCATTTGGTTTCAGCTTCCTGAGATAGGTATGGAGTTTTGAATCAGCGTCTAGTATGGCCGCTTTCATCTTAGACAATCCTCATTTCTAACATAGCAGGTACCGAGCCCTATCCCGACTAGGGTGGTCGTCGTGTTTTGGGCGTTAACAAATGATCACTTATGCCAGTCTTGATGTCTTTACATCGCGTTTTGAAAAATGCAGTTGCTCTTTGTTTTACAAGTATAAGTAATAAGCGATTCCGACCTAACAATTGGCGACGCATTCATAATAGTTGTTAGTTAGCAACAGTGTAGAACTTCGTACGTACGTACGTATATCAGTTCGAGTTGCCATACCACATTAGCACACAGATACAATTGTCGATTCAAATCCCACAGTGGTAGAGGTAGTAAAATTATAAGCAGTAATCGGAAAGATTAGGGTTTGAAGATGTTGTTCATGGAGTGTAATCGAGTGAAATAAATTTGGAAAGAGAAAAAAGGAATATGAGGAATTCAAAAGATTAGAATTTGAGAGGACTCACCTGCTCCATTGCAAACGATTTTGAGCCATGTCATTCAAAGTTTCTAACCATTGGTTACTATCGTCTCCCGGATCCCAACCAGGTAGTCCACACCTACCAACATGACTCAGTCCACTTGTCAGTGACTTCATGGATTTGTGCCATGCTTTGGCCTGGCCGCCCCTAGCTTTCTCCTAATTTACTTGTACACCATAAAACATCGCACGTCGGTAGTTGGGCATACGTAACACATGTCCCAGCCATCTCAACTGATGAAGTTTCACTACTTTATCAATTGATTTGCCGGCCTTACCTAGTGTGGCGGTAAATAAATCTCCAAAATAAATAGCTCTATAAGTTTTCGACATTGGATGCTGACCATTTTTTTTTGATGGATTCACCTAGCTGAAGGCGCTCGGTCACGCATCCTCACCAGACCACGTGTGGGAACGCTGTGCTTAACATCAACTGCAATCGCTATCCAGATTAGATCTGACGATTCTAGACATATTGATATCACATCAAATATATCTCCCAATCTCCTCGATTCTGCCTTTTAATTTCTCTCGGTATGTACGCTTCATATTAGAAGGTGTTACTGGTTAAAGCGTTGTCAAACACTGAATACCTGTGCCATATTCACTAGTACCCGTTTCCTAACAACTGCATTGATTAGTCGGCGGTACCAGGATATACATGTGGTGCTTCGAAGGCATCTGTGATCTAATAATGGTAACCTACAAATATCCTCTTCTCTTACCGGCCATGCTTCACTGCCATTAAAGCAGGACGGAACGAACTGTTGCGCTGTAAACCCATCCTTTGATTGGTAGACGGATATCTGTCCTGCGCCATAAATGATACAAGTTGGCAAAAGCTAGTCGAGCCTTCTGTATCCGTGCTGAGGTTTCGTCACACACCAGACCACAAGGGCTGGTGAGACTTCCAAGATAAGTGAAGCGGTCGACACGCTCAACTACTTCACTCCCTATCTATAGTTCGGGTGTCGATGCAACCCAATCCTGAAGCAACATTTTGCATTTCGGGGGGAGAATCGCATCCCGAACATGTCTGCATTGTTGCTTATGGTGGTCAGAAGAATTTTGGCTCCTCGTAAACTTGATCGTTCTTTTCCAGCCGTCCTGAAAAAGAAAGAAGAAAATGTAAGTGCATGTCGAAATACACTCGTACGCGCGTAAAAAAAATGTCGGCGAAAAAAGGAAAAAAAACTAATATACACGCAATATCGTTAAAAAAATGGATTTTTGATGTTTTTTTGTTTGTTTGTTTTTTGTGGACCAAATCGAGATATATTCGCTGGCGATCTTGTGGTATCGAAAGGATACCGAGATCGTGCCAGGATACAAACTTGGTTACATAGCGTAACCGAATTCGCGCGAGGTCACAATCAAAGTGTGTGAATAATGGATGTTTTTAGCACAGCTAAACAAAAGCACATTAAAACAGTCACTGGTACAGTTGGTTATAATAATAATTGTTTTCAATAAACCAATAGTGTTCTCGTGATAAAACTGAGTCACTACAGAAGCCTTCCGCTAGAAAGGGTTTACACTTTCGATAAGTAGCGGTTTAAATCGTGGGACTGATAGGCTGACGAGCGATTGTAGGACGGAAGAATTGACAGAAATGGAAAGCGATCGTTGATCGTCAAGTTGCCAACGAAGGTCTTTTTCGGAGAACGGTATCGAGGGCGGTGTGCTGTATTTGTTGCTCGAGGTGGCATGCCACACCAGTGATTTGTATACAGAATCTGAAGATTGCGTTCGTAGGGATGCGGACCAGAAACGCTGCAGACGTTGGACGAAACCACGTTGAGCCAAGGGACAAGAGACGAAAATAACGACCAAGTTCGAGACCAAACGTATGCCAAGCATTCGAAACCAGAATATCGACTGAGTGCGTTGACAAGAGTGTGGGTGGCCAATCCAGCTTTCGCCAAAGTTGACTGAAGTCGACGGTACCAGACGGGGATGGTTGGAGGCGTGGGCTCAGAACACAGAAAAAAAATCAAAAAAAGAATAGTGTAACATGCATGTAGTGTAGGAATAATCCTACACCATATCGGTTGTTGACTGTGCAGCTAGTCGCGAAGCGTACGGACAACCGTACTCGGCGGCCGGAACGTGAGACGGTAGTCTCCTTTGTATCGCGTGAGCCTACAATCTCATCCGAAGTCAAGGGCGGCGTGGCCTGCTGATCTGAACGTGAGACCGAGCGCCTTCAGCTAGGTGAGTCCATTAAAACATGTGGTCAGCATCCAATGTCGAAAACTGTGGTGTTTGAACGAACTAATGATACTATTGTACTGGTTGATTGTACGATTTCGAATTCCAAATACAGTACATTCGGTTGTGCCTGTGTCTTCTTAATTCAATTGCGTTATTTCTTGGACTCATAGTTCGTGCTATAATTCAAATAATTCGAAACATCATAAAAACGTACAGAGCTATTTATTTTGGAGATTTATTTACCGCCACACTAGGTAAGGCCGGCAAATCAATTGATAAAGTAGTGAAACTTCATCAGTTGAGATGGCTGGGACATGTGTTACGTATGCCCAACTACCGACGTGCGATGTTTTATGGTGTACAAGTAAATTAGGAGAAAGCTAGGGGCGGCCAGGCCAAAGCATGGCACAAATCCATGAAGTCACTGACAAGTGGACTGAGTCATGTTGGTAGGTGTGGACTACCTGGTTGGGATCCGGGAGACGATAGTAACCAATGGTTAGAAACTTTGAATGACATGGCTCAAAATCGTTTGCAATGGAGCAGGTGAGTCCTCTCAAATTCTAATCTTTTGAATTCCTCATATTCCTTTTTTCTCTTTCCAAATTTATTTCACTCGATTACACTCCATGAACAACATCTTCAAACCCTAATCTTTCCGATTACTGCTTATAATTTTACTACCTCTACCACTGTGGGATTTGAATCGACAATTGTATCTGTGTGCTAATGTGGTATGGCAACTCGAACTGATATACGTACGTACGTACGAAGTTCTACACTGTTGCTAACTAACAACTATTATGAATGCGTCGCCAATTGTTAGGTCGGAATCGCTTATTACTTATACTTGTAAAACAAAGAGCAACTGCATTTTTCAAAACGCGATGTAAAGACATCAAGACTGGCATAAGTGATCATTTGTTAACGCCCAAAACACGACGACCACCCTAGTCGGGATAGGGCTCGGTACCTGCTATGTTAGAAATGAGGATTGTCTAAGATGAAAGTGGCCATACTAGACGCTGATTCAAAACTCCATACCTATCTCAGGAAGCTGAAACCAAATGAAGAAAACAAGCGAGCGAATCCCATCTCGCCAAAAATGTTAAATACGAACAATTTACACAAGGTACTGGAAACTTGATTGTGTAGCTATCAAATTTCAATATGTTATAGCTATATACAAATATCCAACGAATCCGATGATATCTATCTCGTTTATTCGGACAGAGTGAATGTCACATGCAAAAAAGTATACACTTCCAATAATTCAATGTCAGTCCGATTGCAATATACCTGTACGTAGAATGCAATTACATACTGATCCTAATGGGTATGATGCAGAAACAATGTCCCGTTCAAATGGTTTGGAAACAAACCGACCCTACATGAATCACATGCACTTTTACTGACAAGTCGGAATGTAAAATGTACTGAGTCGTATTGTGAATGGAATAATGGCATTAATTTTTTGTTATGAAAGGCAGAGAAATCACCACATATAATATTACCCATACAAATCGAGATCTTACACAAGGATCCTTCAACTTTCATGTATACCTACACGTCTTAATACTCTATTATAATGAAGGTGTGAGTAGTGTTGAAACAGTTCAGGTCAATAAAGTCACATTATATGTGACGTGTGTACATAAAGATCCAACGTTGTTTCGTGGGGGAGAGAGATTTGTGTATGCATTGAACGAAGGAGCAGAACGTTAATTAAATTTTTTTTTCTAAAATGAAGACGGAAAACCAACTGGAAGCTGAAATATGACCACATGACCAGCCAAGGTCCCTGCAAATAAGAAAAAGAACAAAAACCGTTCAAATACTCTCCATAAAGAACTTATCTCTTCACATTCCATTAGAAAGAAGGGGAAGTGATATGGTGGGACTAAAATGCAAAATTGCATTCTTTCATTCATTGTAATTTTTGTACGATATTACTTCTGTATTTTTAATTTAATGTGATAACTATTCAGTGTAGTATTTTGTTTTCGTTTTCCAGTATAATCTATCATTCAGTATAACAATGATTTATCTAAGTGTAATGTTTGTTTAATATACGATATTCCTTTATTGAATTCACATGAACTATGTTCAGCATAAAATGTAATTCATTATAACTTGGGGTATTTTTAAAAAAAATATGTGATTTCACCCTTATTAATAATTAAAATAGGTGTACAGTCAATATATGTAACAAGTGTATTTTCGACTAGTCTTTGTCGTGTATAGGGCGTTAATAAAACTTCACTTGTGCCAGTGTTGATGTTCTTACATCGCGTTGTGAAAGCTGCAGTGGTTCTTCATTTTACAAGTATAAGCGATTCCAACAAAACAATTTTCGACGCGTACATAATGGTAGATGACCAGTCATGAAATAGCTAACATAATTACATATTATTAAATTTTGCTGGTCGATATTCAATATAATCATACTTTGATCGTGTAGAAAGTTATACAATCATGATAAACACTGTGGTACGTGCTACTTATACGGACAGATATAGGGAGCTAATCTCTTTCTGGAAAAGGAGATAATACAGAGAGGAGAAAAACATAAAGCAATGGTACTAGCAACAGTAATGAAATAACAGTAGTGTTTGTAATGGTCAACCCAAGGAAGATATGCAAACAATGTGTTTCGGCTTTCAGTCTCTCTTCTAATGGCATGTTCCCTCGCAAGCTTAACATATATTATTTCTGCACTTGTTTATTCGTATTGCGGCTAACTCATCCTGTAGTTCACAATAAACTTCGACTCCAGCAAGTCAGGCGACAGAAAACTCATTCAAAATCGACGGCTCACGAAGTAACAATAAGGTTAGACACGCTGGAAACACTAACAGATCGAAATTCACCGTGAATTTCTTCAGTGCCTTCTTCTAGTAAACTTGGCTGTCAGAGTCTATAACAACCGCTCCGTAACTACCTCCCATGCCATCTTCCTGCCGGCACTATCCACGCTGTCATACACCCATTTTGCTGTCTCTCATTAGCGTCTCCAGCACCACCACCTTAGGCTTCTACACACCTGCCACCTACGCACCAGTCCCAAACTCTCGCAACACACTCCTTCCTCGAACTCCAGTGGGCACGGAATCTTCATCCTGCGTAGTGACAGCGACACCGATTATTAAGTACGAAGACATGGGAAGGCGTAAACTAAATACACTGTCTTTAATTTATACTGAATTCGTAAAATATAAAGACAATACATCTAACACACCATTTGCACACCTTCCTTCAGTTGACCTTTACAAACCCGATCGTGCCTCCATTCTTGTTGCTATTACCAGTGCTCTGTTTTTCTTTTTCCCCTCTTCTCCCAGCAAGGAAGTAACTTCCCATAACCACCACATACTACTTATATCTGTCCGTATAAGTAGCACACACCACACTATATTTATTACGCTAACCGTGACTTCCCTTTAAAATATTCCGAAGAAACGCTCATTCAGTCCTGATTCGACAAAATATTCCCAAGAGTTTACTGGACACTTAATGACTTTTCGATGGGCATGATTCATTGCAAAATACGTCCAAACAATACATGTATGAAATATTAAAATGACTTTTAAACTACAAACCATGAGTTGTTAAGTGTTGATTTAGTTTGTCGAAATGTTGATCCGGAGGCAAAACAAATCTCATATCATCACACCTATACACACACCATGTTGGTCGAACAACTGTCTTTCAACACTAACAAAAATTCGCTCTTATGATCCAGCTCTCAACGTCCAACAGAAATTACAAAAAACATAACACATCATTACAGTTAACAATGTTTTCACCATATGTATACACCCATCCACGTCTCTTCTCCATATCCATTACTTGTCAGACTACTCACTTCTCCTATCAACTTAAAAGAAAACAAACGCAAACACAGTACGATGCTCATCAAATATTCAAACAATCAACACCATTAAATATACACAGTATGCCTTAAACTGGCATTTTCACACACGGGTTTAGACTAAACAGAGTATACAACACAAAATACACTGAATATAATATCGTTAAAACAAATGTGAACTATTCGGCAGACACGAGACTTAAATAACATTTTCTCATAAACTTAGTGAATGATGAACAAATAGATGTGAATACAAAATAACAAACAAAGTTAGTTGAATAGATATAAATAAAATCATTGTTTCTTTCTATTCACAATCCACTTAGTAGAGGAAACTTCGAATTAACTGGATCCAAAATACCAACAAGGAAGTACAGTGTCCCAGCAAGACCTAAACACACAATATGAACACAAAAAACAAACTGTTACACTGAACTAACTATCATTTCAAAATAATAAATACAATTCAGTCAAACCGATAAATAATAGTCAACTTTCCACATAACAAACTGGAAATGAGAAGATCGAATAGTTTGTTGTTTTACGATAGAATAGTATTCATGACAAGAGGAGGAGAATACACTGTGACGATGGCAACTATTATTCACTCTACTTAAAGACTACTCCTCACGTATGCACATCCATGACTCAAAACACGGGAATCGAAACCAGCCGTCATCCAACAGTGTGAATGATTAACTTCAACCAATTCACAATGTCGCACAACCCCCATTATCCATTGCCTGTGGTGGACATCTGTCTCACACATGACTTCATTGTTAACACATAACATTTTTAAATCCAGCATACATCTACACTTCTCTTACAATGCACAAAGACTAGGACTAACAGTCAAACCTTAATTGATTGCATAATCGACGACCTACATGTTAATTAACTCCAATTGGTTGTGACAGTTTGTCATGCTTATTATGTGCTCATAGTTTCTGCATAACCATGTTATTTTACCACATATGGAAGATATTCATCTGGCTAGTCGTTTTCTCTCTGATTTACAATCACTTGGCGGTTTCCGTCGGTAATACAGTCACGTTAACAAACCACTCGATCACACTCGCCATCATCGTGCTCATCCGTCGATTAGCATTTTATTCATTGATTTAACTGTCGAAAATTCGATCCAATCAAATCACTAACACCCTTCTCCATGACAAATTCAGACAGCATGAATGGAACAGTGATACTTGATTACGCACTAGAAAACATTACGTGCGGAGATGGAAATTGGAAGTAGTTCCCTATTCAATCATTTCAACTGAAAATCCTAACAGATCAGAAAAGTGAGTAGTTTCAATTGAGCAATACACTACTAGTTGCTAACAACTGGAAAACTCAACACAATTCTAGGTCTATTTCCATACATTCATTCTGTGTTCACACTCTCCAGATGTTCCGATATATCAACTATCCGCACATCGAAAATACATTGACCATTCACATTCCGATCAGTAGGCTATCATCACTTTAACAACTTGATACGAGTCACTGTCAATTAACCGATGAAAAGGTGTGACTTTTCTATCGCAATATCACTACTCAAAAGTAGACACATCAATGCGAAGTTAGTTCCTTCCACAACACTCCACAGACTCCTGGTGGGTACCATTTAAATGAGGACTAACGTGTAATATTAGTGTGAAACTATATTAGCAACAAGAGGGATTAATCTTAGTTACAAATGGAAAAGCACACTAAACAAACCTTCCATAAGTGAGTACGGACGATCAGCAACGCGAGTAGCATTTTTAAAACAGTCAGTACACCATTCAGCAAACTGGAGAGCAAATGTAAAAACATTGAACAATCATGAGTTTCTTTTGATTTAAATTGTCTGGTTGACTATTCTAAAAGCCACATAAATCTTCACAGATGCTTAAGATAAAAAAATATCATGCCAAATGAATATTACGTTCACCGATCTGATCATCGAGATGTTGACTAAACAATCACTCAAAGGTAACCGCTATTATGATTATGGAACCAGTTAAACAACTGATTTAACACCATAATGAATTAGTTCAACCGAAGCAGTCAGTTCAAATCAATGGGTCGATAAACAGTTCTTAATGACAAATAACTGAGTGGCGACCAACTGCTCCAATGTCGAACGCCTCGATAGGTGACGACCATTTAAATACAACACGAGATTATGAAAAGATGTGAGACCTATGACAGGTAGTGTTCAACAGGGAAATGAGAACCTTGAAGACGGTAAATAAGAAATCCAGGCAAGGAACTCACTTTATTTGGACACATTGGGGAACCGGTATTTCCATATTATCCGGTACAAATACAGCTAGCTTTGCGTCTATTTAATGATTGAAAAACACAGTGACCACATGTACGTTCAGCTACAAACTACATCTATGATACATATTTGTTATGACTGTAATACAGTTCTACATAAACATAGAACAGTCCAATAGTTTTCAACCCCTAACTCAACAGATCATAACATAAATCATCTACCCACAACTATACACAAATAACCTAACAAAATACACTCATTCACACTATAAAATATAACAGTATGATAATTATGGAGTAACGTGAATATACACCAGTACCTCACCAACTTACAATATCATTACAAATTAGAGTAAAGGTAAGTGAATTCAGACACCATCCACTCAAAACACGTAATAGTGAACAGAAAAAATGAGGATTTCAAGTGAAACACTACAATGTTGTACTTCAAACTATACACAATATACAGAACAAATATAATGACACATTGTAAAGTTTGTAATACACACATATTCAGAAAACAAAAGAAAAGATACATATACTTTAAATGCATTGAACTACCACTGTCACTGAACTGACACCAACCTTTATAGCTCTATACAAATATTTGGGATCTTGAGTTGTTTGATAAATCTCTAATAGAGCGAAACCACTACCAGCTGAACCGTGACAAAGACCACAGCCTTTATGAAGTAGACCACGAGTCCATACAGCTTCTCCTCCATCTAATGCACACTTCAAATATTTATTTTCACCTGTAATCTATAGAATGTAACAACACAGAAGTTAGATAACAGTAAACAAACTACCGATAGCTTTAAAAATCATACATATCTATCTAAATAAAAGGAGAATATTTTAAGTGCAGTTTGATTAGTTTCTAACTCCTATTTTGCCACTTCATAGACTCACTGGTGGTTGATAATAATAATCCTATTACAGATTAGACACGAAATATTTGTTCTCATAGCCTTGCTCAGAAAACTCTCGTCCAACAACGTTTCCATAAAACATTTTGTCACGAGACAGTACATATAGGTTTTATGTATTATGATTTATTTTGTGTATTAAGAGTACTTTCGAAAAATCCAGCATTTTATGTAAGACGCAATACTACCAGGTTATACGGTTCAAGATTGCCCCTAAATGCCCTAGTACGGCCGAGAGTAGGGAGATTCCGCTCACCCTCTCGAAATGCTCTCACATGGCCACGTGTATATAGCCTCTGCCACACAAGTCCTACTCAATGCATTCTCACACCAGGGGTGTTGTATACGAAATTCAGAGGACAAAAAGCGAATGTCCGGCGCTTTAACAGGGTTGGCAGACATGAAGAGTCCGTTTAGGGGAGTTGGAAAATGCTGATTCCAAACCAATGGCGCACATGGGCCACAGTATCCAGAGGGAAAAAATGGCGCATGGACCAGTCGTTGGTCACCGACTACCATGGGAATGCATCTCCTGACATTGCTCCACTGCCTTGTGGATCAGACCTTTACGTCGAAGGCTCCGGGTGTGGCCCCCTAAGAAAACCACCTGTTTCACTCTGGGCACCCGGGCAGTATGACAGCTCTCGCAAATATTAAATGAGATTTGTGTGGCGCATATGTATTTGGTAATAATAAACAAATGTTCAAGGTAAATGGCTTTCTTAGATAATCACTTAATCAGGAGGCGAATAAGAAACGTCAGCACATGCATTCCGATAGCAAATGATGATTAGATTCAGTTTATATACTAGTTATCTTGTTGAAATCATTGAGTTCATGTACACTACATATTGCGAATTCGATTTTCATACTTTTTAAAATGATATTTATATATATTTAAAGATTTAAAATTCCTTTATTCATCTTTAAATAAAGTCTTTTGTTTTCATGTATTAATTTAACAGGATGATTATCATACTGATAATAACCTTCTGTTAGGTATGTTGACAGTGAGGTTAAATAAACAAGGTTATTGAAAGAAAATTCTTTTAAACACAAGGAACGTTTAATAATCGTTTGATTTTGAATGGCATAATTATTCATCAAAAGATAGATAAGGAAACGTTCAGCTCAACATGATAAGATAAATGTTGAAGTTGAGATTAAATGCAATAAGGATGATCGTGGAAACAAAATGAACCAGTTGGAGATAGAAAATTTAGGGGGAAGATGGAGAATGAAGCAGATGGCTGTAAAGGAAGAAGAGTGTGAAGAAAGAGAAAAATTAAAGATAAAAATAAAAAATTATAAAACATCAGGACCATGGTAGAAGGGGTTGTACCAGTCGTTTTTGCACACACAATTCTGGTTTTTCCAGATGTATGGCTAATGCTTCGGCAATGTAAAGAAGATGCAGTCTAATTGTCTTTGGAAGACTTCTACATACCTTGTAGATGACTTTGAACACAGTCTGTCTTGATTGAGTGACCTGTGTTCACAAGGTGTTCAATTACTGAGCTTCTTATTAGGCCGCTTCCTCCTATTTTTAGCCATGGATAAAGTACGCATCGAACGACCTATATACTTAGCTTCACATGAGCAGGTGAACACTCGTAACAAGAATACGACGAATCTGTAGTCACGACGTCATAGAGGATGAATTGGGCCACCTGAAGGAGATACTTATTAAAAACGGATGTCCTTCGATTTTCATTGATAAGAACATAAAGCCGAAAACACATATAACTACAGTAGAGAAGAAAATTTTTTACATCAACATCGAATTCAAGGGCGATAGAGCCGCACACACCCTAAAAAGAATTTCCGATTTTTTAAAAATAACATTCCCCGCAGCAACATTGCGAATAGTATTCTCCAGCCGGTCATTGTTCACCAATAATCTTAAAGATGAATTATCGCATCTGACCAACTCAATGTGCACTTTTTTATTGAGATCGTGAACCGATTGGTGTTAGACCACCATTGAAAACCTGGAAGTACTGAACAGTTGTTTCGTCCCATTGTGGGACTCTTCAGCAGTACGCATCCACAATCCTGCTCGCGGGATCAGCGAAGCTAATCCACGTCGGGTAGAAACAGGTGTCTGCCCCAGTACAACGGAAGATGGTTGCGCAACTTCGTGAATTGGTTGAGGTTAGTCATTAACAGTATTGAATGCCGGCTCAGTGGTTCAATAAGTTAAGAGTTCGCGCGCGAGACTGAAGGTCCTGGGTTCGAATCCCGCGAGCGGTATTATGAATGCGCACTGCTGAGTAGTCCCACAATAGGACGAAACCACCGTCCAGTGCTTCCAGGTTTTCAATGGTCGTCATGGTCACCCGGAGTAGGCCCGACGGGTTTCAATGAGTTGTAAGGAGCCTGAAGAAACCCAGTGCTTATAAGTGGGATGTTTCGCGAACCCACAACTGATTTTACTCGCCATTTTCGTGGCGTCGCGCAATTGCAACCAATGCTCATCTATACTTCTCGGTGGAATGGTAGCTAGCCTAGAAACTAGCTCAGTTCGATACTTACTAGCAACAGAAGTTGCAACCAGCTTGCTAGCATCAATCCTTTGGTGACGGTCACTTCGTTGTCCACTGAAAAGTAAGGTAAGATTGGCGCAGACCAGGGTATGACCAGAGTCCAGATAGGTACTCCAAAAGGAGCGGCAGTTTGTACACAACCACGTCAGCGGTAACTCATCGCGATGTGATCAATCTGAGTCCAGTCTTGAGATGCAGATGGAGGACGCCAGGTGAAACGTCGGCAATGACTGTGCCAAAAGTCAGTGCTAGCTAGAAATAGGTTGTGGTCTGTGCACAATTGCAATAGACGGTTCCAGTTATCTGACTTGTGACCAACAAGTCCATATCGGCCACCTAAACGACTCTTTTCTGTGCCTTGACGCCCGACCTGAGCATTCAAGTCTCCGGCTAGTACTACAATATTTGCCGAACGCACTTTCTGGAGAAGAACAGTTAACTGGTGGTAAAATTCATCCTTGATTGCATCCCGGCTGCAATCTGTCGGGGCATAGGTGAAGATGACGAAAAAAAATCGTTTCTCACACCGATTTCTTCTCACTTTGGTGGAACTTTGTAATCTAACAGCACATAACCGACCGTTAATGGGGATCCAATCGATTAGTGCTGACTCAGCTCTGGCACTTGGTGCGACACCAACGCCAGCAACACCAGACGAAGATGCCACATGGTCCCCGGATAGACGCATGTAAAACAAGCTTTTTGAAGCGACAAATGGAGAGCAAATTTATATTACTTCACTAGAGTCTTGAATACGGATCTCAGATAGACAAGAGACGTCGATATTAAGACTGCCTAAAGACATAGCCAGCCCTATCTGTTGTCCGACCTGCATAAGTGTGCGAACGTTGAAGGCAGCCAGTTTGAATAGTGCACGTGGTTTCAGAAAAACTGCTTCAGTATTCGTATTTGGTGGTAGCATACAATTTTCAACCAGGCAGCGACTAGAGAATGTTTAGATAGAACCGAGTTCCCACTATACGCGAGCTGCTATATAATTCGAAAAATAAGGATACACAGAGTGGGGATAAAAGAGAGTGAATAAATGACGTAAAATAATAATAATAATAATAATAATAATAATAATAATAATAATAATAATAATAATAATAATAATAACAATAATAATAATAATGTGAATCGTTTGACTGTTAATCGAAGCAAGACAAGTATTTTCCATAAATATAGACATTTCATCATATTTGTGTGTGGGCTGTGATACTGCCTGGGTGCTCAAACTGAAGCAGTTGGTTTTCTTAGGGGGCCGCACCCCGAGCCTTTGACCTAAAGGTCTGAACCCACAAGGCAGTGGAGCATCGTGAGGAGATGCTGTCCCATGGTAGCCAATGACCAACGATTGGTTCATACGCCGCGTGTTCCCGCAGGATACTAGAACCCATGTGCACCATTATAGATTACAGTAACTGAATTATGTGAGTGAAATGATTACCTAAATTTCCTATCTCGAGTGTCAAGCGCTATAAATATGGAGGTACATATTTTATGCAGACTGATGTATATCTCCTTTTGTATAGAGTACTTTTGGTAAATATTAAGTAAAGTTTGACCCTCAGGACTGTCATTGGTACTAGATAGACAGTATAGGCGGATTAATCAATACTCGGACTAGACTGATACAAATACACACAAGCTCCGACATAATTTAAGAATCTGCTTTTTTCATTATATCATAAGTCTCCTGTGAAAACCCATTAATCTGTCAAGTCAAAAATTTGATTCAAGCAAACCTGTCCATACAAACGGTAACCCAACATGTACTACTAAGAGATGGTTTATGATATAACCCACTTACTTAATTTCATGATACCGATCTAAATTTTACCCAGAATACTTGAATAAGCTCCAAACAGAATGAGTCAATGAAGAAAATCCTCAATGGAATTAAAAAACCCGGACTTATAGGAATTAAGGAAGTTGTATTTGCAATAGTTTTATACGTTTTAAAGTTAGCTAGGGTATAAAGCTAAATAAACGTCCTTAGTGCAATTGGGGTACCAGATTTGCTTTATATAGAAGGCACAGGACACATACTGCAAGCTGACTGAAATAATTAGTTTTTTTTCAGACAACCAATCATTCACTTGAACTAAGGATCTAATTCGTGAAGTAGTGGGATAACGTCGGTGAATATATTCCCATAGGTATTTGGCTGTGCACAGGTCTATATTAAAGTATAATACGCAGAAGTATAACAGTTTTAAATGCATTCTAATCATGTATAGCATTTATTCTGAATCTGATTTTCAGTGAAGCCGTCGATGTGTACAACTGAGGGGTTCCATACTGGGACGAGACAGCTAACTAATGCTTCTTGGTTTTAAATAGCTGTCCTGTGAAGTGAACTACAAAATAATTGAATCATTTATTAAAATAATATTGCTAACCTACCTTATGGGCTGAGAGCATAAGCGGAATAACACCCGTTGCACCATGACACCAATGAACTAATACATCACGATTTAAGCTATCCCCTAAACTAGAAGGCCAATTTCCACTGATTATCTGAAGTTGACTCATCCAATCAACAGTAGGTAGAATTAACTGGTTTAAGGAATGTGATGATATGCTACCAGGAAACAAACGATATACCTTTAGAGCAAAACATGATGGAAAATGATTAAACATGACTAATTCATTACAATGATCAAAGTATCAATTCATAATGAGATGGGTCATCATTTCGCATATTAATTCGAAAAAAATTAAAAAAGGACTCTTTTTACCCTATTCTTTTTGTAAACTTGGTAGGTTTTAACAATGGTCAAATACACATACGTGTATTTGGCCTTGAGTCATACTCTAAATGAAGGCTAGTAACGTTAGCTGGTTGCCTAAACTGAAATCTACAAAATCACTAAACAGTTGAATATAAACACAATAGACGTCACAGTAGAAATGTAGATAAAAAAAACACTGAAAGTTATATCCTTGTGACTATTTGTATACAAATAGTGAATAACAATCAACTAGACTAAACAATTAGATGACTGAAGTCTTTTACTATTTGAAAAATATTTCAGAACAAGTTCTACTGTTGCTTCAGTTAATAAGTTATATAATCAACTCACAATATATTACTTTTCAAATTGTTTTACTCCCCTTTACGCTAAACGACCACATCAACTAGTATTGCTTAACGGTGGAAAATTTCCCATTTTCTTAATGAAGAGTATAACGAGCCTGATAGACAGAAATACACACTGATGTAAACACGGTGCAAACTAGAAAAAATATACAGCCCTTCAAGATGACTTAATTTATATCACTACATCATCGAGTGCTCGCTTAGTAATCAAGGTGATCAACTTTCAACCAGTAGGTTGTAAGTTCATATTAGCAGTTCATCAACTATTCTTTCAGCTTAGTAGTATCACTAACACTCACATAAGTGAGGCTAAAAGATGACTTCAGTGATTGGTATGTGGTGAGTTGTATTGACACTATTAGTTTGAGCTATGTTGAAAGGTGTATAGTTTTTTTTCTAACAACCCATATAAATTGTAAACTATGGTTCCAGACATAAAGTCAAAAAGGGGAAAACCGATGTCAGTGATGCAGTTGCATTTATTCTTTGTATTCCTACAAATATTAAGTTCATAACTATTGATAAATTTTCGTTCTTCAAACTGGATTTCTATTTGAATTTTGGCTAGCAATGGAATTCAGCATTCGCATTCTATCCTATTTGGAACTTGTCAGCTGAAGTCTGAGATGCAAGTACATCCGACTGATGACTCCTGAATAGGATAAAACGAACCTACCGAACCGAATCCAAACACATTTAAACCTTGTAATGAAAAGACATTATCAACGATTCAGAATAGTATGGATGTATTTCAACAGATAATGATCGACTTCAATCTTGAAAATTAAACGACAGATGAACACACATTGATAAAAATGCATTTCGCATGTTTAAAGTCTCATCGCAATTATTGTTTGATCCTCCATTTTGCTATAAGCTAACGTCTTAAGCTTGCCTGTTGTTTTCTTTCATTCAGACTCAAGACTGATGATAGAAAAGGTATGTATCAGCAGATTGGTAGGAGTTAAGACTGCTTCGAATTCAACTCCTGTCAGACAAAGCGTATTATTAATCAAAGCTTAAGACGCCGGCTTATAAACGAAATAGTATGAGCGGAGTACAGAATTTATAACCAGGATTCTAATTAGCGAAGCTTCGCTAAATATCGATTAAAGTCTCACTCGTGAAAAATCCAACCATCGGTAGTGAAAGTACTAAAGAAATAAAAATGAATAAAGGTGGACGAATGAACTCGGAGTAATGAGAGCCCCAGAATGACTCAATATTCAAGAATTATAAAAGTTTAAGAATCAATCCACCTGATTTATGAAAGAGGTGATTATTTTTAGAAGAAAAAATTCATCTTGATACTCGATAAATCAATAAAGTAGAGAAGTGTAAGCATTATTGAAACGATTTATAGTTAGGAATACGGGAACAATTTGCTTTTTTTAGGAACAGAAGCAAAATAGATAGAGCGATTGGTATCGACATTCGAAAGCTGATAAAATGAAATATTAACGGGAATCAGTTGCAAACACGTTACTAAACATAATAGCTTGGGATTAAGTTGATAATAACGGAGTGGTTAAATTTTTAATGCATCAATCCCAAAAAAATGAGTTACTCAAACGTTATGTTTTCCACAAAATCAGATTCTGTGGGTTACTAGTAGCCAATTGACTTTTGGGGCTTATTTTACGTTCATTAACAATCTTCCCATAAGCAGCTGAGTTATTCAATGATTTGTGTTAGAAACCAACCAAAAATAGCATCATGTTCAGATAACTTACCTTCAGTAGAGTAGTCAAGATACCAGCAAAACCATGTGCTCCACCAAGGTAACATTTATCATGCCATTCGAACATCAATGGTGGCATGCACAAATTTCGTTTCGATGACTGATACATCAATCGATCATAAAAACCATTCGATTTGTAAGCACCAGCTGTTTTCTGACCAGACTTCAATATAGCATCGGTTATCTAAAGTAAAACTGTTATCATTAGTGTTACTACTTTCATATCACGTAAAAAACACACAACTTCATTAATCAGATAGTGAAATGCCGTAACTTTATGCACAAACAATCACAAGAGATAATTCTTGAAAAGATAAGTGAAACGTTACAGTATGAGTCACTTGAATGCTTTTATGGAACGTAAAACAGATGATTGTACTTTAACGATTAGTATTGGTCATGAGAATCGGATTTATACCATGCATCCCAATAACTGGCATGTGGTTCCATAGATACAAACCACTAAGGAGAAACAAATGTGAAGTACAGACACCAATTGTTATTGCTATTATCACAGAAATGTCTCAAACATACAAAAATTAGGGGTAAACAAATATGTTAACGAAAAGTCTTTAGATTCAGATTGTTAACCAAACACAAACCGAAAATCGGTTCATATCACATGAAATTCCGAGTGCTTGTAATTTCAATATAACTCTGAACAAAAGCCTAAAAAACTGATCGATTTCTACATTCTTATATTGACTATTTACGTCTTTAATTTGCTCCAACCAGTTTCTTAAATCAATATAAGTCGTAGAATTGTGGCGATTTCATTAAATTTATCTTCTAATTTCATATTATTTATTACTGACGAAGGTAACCATGTGACAAGAGTATAACACTAAAATGCACACCAAAACATTTGGTTTTAATGTGTCCCTCAGGTTTCACTAAGTATCTTCAAAAACACGAATTCCGATATGAACTTTGAAAAAATGATCGAGAGGTGTGTGCCTCAAGATAACATTCATTATACCATTCAAATATTAACGGTGGCATGCACAAATCTCGTTTCGATGACTGATACATCAATCGATCATAAAAACAATTCGATTTGTAAGCACCAGCTGTTTTCTGACCAGACTTCAATATAGCATCGGTTATCTAAAGTAAAACTGTTATCATTAGTGTTACTACTTTCATATCACGTAAAAAACACACAACTTCATTAATCAGATAGTGAAATGCCGTAACTTTATGCACAAACAATCACAAGAAATAATTCTTGAAAGATTAGTAAAACGTTACAGTATGAGTCACTTGAATGCTTTTATGGAACGTAAAACGGATGATTGTACTTTAACGATTAGTATTGGTCATGAGAAACGGATTTATGCCATGCATTGTAATAACTCGCCAGTGGTATTGTGATCACAAACACATCATTGTAAGGCTTGTTCAACTGAACCAGTTTCATAAACCGACAAATTATCTAGAACAACACTGGAGCAATAAACCTTCCCATTCACTTCTCTAGTAATTCACCTCTGCACAATCAAGCACAAACAATTCATTAATAAACACTTCAAAAGCAGTAACAAATATACAAACACATACCGACGAGACAACAGAAACAGGGATGTCGAAATTATTTTCTCGAAGTGTTACCAAACAATTTAGATAGCCAGTACGTCCATATAACGCTTCATCAGGCATCCCACAGTCCACATCCAAGCCATATTTACTCGCCGACAAAATGTCTTCTACGAACTTCTTTGCCTCTGTATTCTCACTTCCATGCTTGACTGATGATAAAGCACCTAAACACAGTGGACCGATCGGGCTAGTGTAAACACTGATATTTTTAGATAACTTCTTCAAGTCGATATGACGCAGACATCGATTTAACAACTTCTCAGTACATACAACACCATTTTCACGTATCTTTCTGTCTAATAATTCACATTTGCATTGTGATAGGAAATTGTAGAATAGTCCAACACCTACAAGCAAATAGAAAGACACACAAATTGATCGAGTGGTTTGCATACTATTCACAAATTCTAAAGTACACGCTTACATTTCTTACAGCTCAATGACTAGACGTTTGTTTGTGGGTTTGAATGGTCCCGAATAAATTGCAAAAAATATCAAAACAATGGAATACGACCAATCTGGAACACAGTACTAACAACATTCAATGAAAGCTTTTACAAATGAACATCGTTAGTTCAACTACACTAACAAAGATCAGTGACGGATTTCACTGGTCGACTCAATGGTCCATTATATTTTTTCACACTAAATGTAGTACAACAGTAGAAGTACAGAATATAAACAGGTGGGTTTCTCCGAGAATCTGATTATCACTTGTTACTTCAAATTGAAGGGCATATCCTGATACATTTATTCAAATGACATGACTAGATATCTGGTATATGAATCAACACTTGATTGAATTAGCCAGTCAGTCACTTGACTTTCAATGATTAATAAGTCGGAATAGATGTGGTGGAAGCACGTATATACTTATGTGACATGGTGAACCACACCTAATGTCTTACAAAAATACAATACCTGTATGTGTAAACAAAGGAAAACATAAAATCCATTATACACGCATAAAAGTCTTCACATTTCTGATTAGTCATTTAATTCAATCTGAAACCATGGCTTAGTTCAAATACATTAAGACACTACAATGGGCCATGTTACTAAGTTCAGACTGTCTGGTAAGTCTGCGTGATTGTCTTGACCGATTGTTAGAGACTTTGGGTGATGTGGCTTAAAATCGTTCGCAATGTCATAGGTGCATTCCGTTAGATATGAAATCTCTAAACTGTTTTACATATTTTCATTCTACAAATTTATATTTTCTCGAATTGTACTTTCCACACCTAATCTCTCCCATTACCACTAATACTGTTACTATATCTACTTTTCTGAGACATGTCCTGACAGTCTCGTTTCGCTGTTCTGATGGTATGTTTCAGCCTGAACCGATTCATAAATATGTCAGCTTCGACGTTGCATATGACTGATTCACTGACTGAGGATGACTAAAACACATAACACTCACCTGACAAGCCCGTGTACATTGATACGTCAGACGACGATAACTTCTCGAAATTCGAATTCAGAACATTTAACAGTTCGACAATTTTGTTTGGGATGTTCGTATCTCCCACCTGGAACGTGGTGCACAAGTAAATACTGAAAGTACTTTAAGCTGGTCTCCAGGTATATAATCCTGGTAAGGATTTTTAAAATGGCGACCATCGTTAACCTCAACCATCTTCTATACGCGTTTGGATTTTACTCACGAATGGATCCTTGAAAGGATAGAGTTAAGTTGAATTTGTCGAGATTAGACTAGAATGTTCTGTGGTCAACACCAAAATCTTAAGACAAAATTGATAGATTAGTCGATGGGACAGTAAAAGCATAAAAATGCATAGTAATACAAAACGAGGTAATTTGAAGAAGTGGTTGGTAAACAATGAAATCTTTATCACAAGTGTAATAAGTCAAACTAAAGAAATTATTTTGTGGGAAACTAAAACGTATTTCAAAGAGGAACAAATGAAAAGAATGACATAATACAAATCCAGGATATGCGAAATAAAACAGAAATATTGGGTGAATCCATTTGCCGCACATTACTTAACATCCAATGCTAGAGATTCGAATTTCCCTAGGAACTACAATGAAGGCATCCACTACAAATAGATATTTAGTAACTTTATGGACTGATATTTTGGTCTGTTCACTTGCTCCAATCTAAGCAACTCCTGCCAAAAAGAGAACGCTGTTGCTAAAAGTGGGTTGATATCCCAAGCAACCAACAACGGAGAAATAAAGGTGAACAAAGAGCAAATGAAGGTTTAAATGCTTTGGAAGGACATTGATTGTAAATGTATAGCCATCAATTGTATCAATAATCTAGTTATACTCCTATTGTTGCATGGTTTAATGTAAATGCATTTTGTTTCATTAATGTTGAATTAATGACGATAAACCATTTAATGACGTCTTATGTTATTTTTAGCCCGCTAACGTCCCGATCAATAAAGAACTTATGATTGCAGCCAAGAAGTGGATTGTTAGCAAAGACCTGTGCCTTTATCCAACGGGTCTGGTCGATATCCACCTACAAAGGTGCGACCAACCAGATGATAATTGGGCAGTTGTGAAATGTAAAATCATTAACGAATTCGGTAAGTAACAAACATAGAAACTATGATTCACTATAGATTCTCTTGAGTCGACGAAAGATGTTTTACTTTCAATGCAAATACTGGAATCTTACCGTAGAAACACTTCTACGGATGAGAACACATTACCACAAAACAATGAGAAGCCCAAGAAATCAGTACAATAATCTTACTAATACTTCCTAGAGGTGCAATGAAGCGTAAAGAAGATTTTCTTTACAATTCTGTCGACATGGATGTGGCTGAGATGCAGGCTGGGAATAGCCGCGTACAATATCCGAAATTCCGGTTGTTCGACAAATTCGTATCGCCAAGTATGTTTTATTATCTTTTAGATATTCACGAATTAGTTCGACACAAATAGAGACATCACCATCCACATCGGAATTGAAGCATGTCAGTGGTGCTATAGCGGATCAGTAAGTCACCTGCATCATCTAGTGAACTTTTTCAGCTTTGATAGGTTGTACAAGATTTTGCAGAACATATCATCGGCAATTACTGAATCGAGTAGTAATGTTAGGCAGTTACTATCTAAGTCTAATGAACGCGAACAACCACATTGATTCGATTGAGGGCTCTCCAGCCAGCAGTTCCCTTTGTCATCTGGAGAGGAACTGCAGATGCTGGAAACTGGTTTGCAGCAGAAAGAAACCAGGGACTGATTTGTAAGTCATCAACATTAATTTTATAATTTGTCCCGATTACAGATGGCAATGGTTACGAGGTTATCGGGTGATGATCCGAAAACCTCAATGCGGTATGTTTTGTCGCACTTCTCAACACCTGAGGTTGCCGGTAACTCCACGTTACTTGGAACACCTTCTAAACGACCACTTCTAAAATGCCGGTTTCACGGCTGCACACGAAGTAACTCATGTTTAATATTTAATCTTCAGGTGCGTTAACAAATCGCCTTTTATCATCCTCTGTCAACGAAAAAGATCTTTCGAAGCTGTACGACATCGCGACACAAGTTTATTTTCACGATGTCAGAGACAAAGTGATAAAGTGTAAAAGAAGGAAAGAAGGGCAGGTATGTACTAATTTAAAGTGATAACATTCCTTAAGGCTCTATAGTTACAGTCATCAGAGTTAACGGACATAACCGTAAGTTTAGCTTAAAGTATTTGGCTGTGCCAAGACATGTCATTCAGATATTGTTGTGACTTTTTCTGTTTTTTAAACTTATTAATTCACAGGACGACTATTTCAATTCTCAATAGGCGAACAAATGTGGCTGAAGGGAATAATCCATGCAATTTTTTAATGTTCTACCTACCTTTTAATAAACATTATTTTGTCAAAGGGCTTACTTTATTACCTACTTGGGAAGCTATACAAGTGTTTAGAATGTGTGTTTGAGTGTCAGTTAACTTTAGATTAGATGCAAATGCCTTTTGAATAATACATCACCTGTTTCATCTTTTGTAGATCTTTTCAAATAACAATGAATTGGCAACTACAACGGATATATATCCATTGTAGTTGCATCAATCGTTTTGTATATACAAAACGATTGATGCTCAAGCTTCTGCTCTAATTTTGTACAATAATACGATTTTCCTCTTAAATATTTTTTTAAATATACATGTTTTCCAGTGCATTGCAGTTTTATTTCGGTCTGTTGTTGGAAATAAAGGCGAACATAGGAGACCCTTGGGGTTATGTCAATGGATCAAAAATAGGGAGTTCTGTGTGAATTTAGGCGAAAAGTAGACAATTTGGCGAACATTTAGACGAAAAGTAGACAATTCTGCGGATATTTAGGCGAAAATTTGACAATTCGGTGGATATTTAGGCGAAAAGTGAGTAACTTATCGACAAAACGGCGAAAAGGGGGAAATCCACATTATTTCCCTCGGACAGGCGAAAAAGGCAACATTCTGATGCGTTTTCCCCTTTTTTGGTTGTTTGGGAAGCCTACGTAGGCCTCAAGTATGGAGACGACGTCGAGCAATCCCAAAAATGACAGCGAAACCTTAGTCACCTACCCGGCTTAAAATAGGATTATGAGTTAATGTTGGTTATTTAAATTAAGCCGCTGTTAGGAGTCAGGATAAGAAATTACCCGGTAAAGCTGTACGAACTACCTTGAGATCATACCCAAAATGACCAATCAGGAGACAGAGAAGATAAATGGGTTATTTAATACCCTAATCTGTAAGGCTTCCACTTAAAGGACTCTTGGGGGTTTTCGTTCACCACCCAGTATCATTCCAGTGGTTTAATTTAGGTTGACTGATCTCTTTCCATTCCCGTCATGGTGTTCAGTCAGTCTTCAGTCTTCAGTAATAAGGATAGTAGGTTGGTGAACCTGTATTAATCCTGACACATTGCTTTCCAGTGAAGGTCCAACTTCTCCTTGAAATTATTCACTGATGAGGCTTATACCACTTGTTCGGGTAAGGCTCTCCAACCATTGACTACTCGATGAGAAAATCGGGACCCCACTTTAAGTTTATTAGATCGTGGTTTATGAACCTTCTTGCTATAACCTCGGAGATTATTAGTGCTGGAGGGAGCAAAAAGATAAGACATATTGACACCCGAATCATAATTAAAGATATGAAATGCCAGTATAAGGTTACCTCGTGTCCTACGATAAGACAATGGTAAAAGGTTTAGGCGTTTTAAACTCTCATCGTTAGGGAGCTTAAAAGACTCTTTATTAATTTTGTTCCTACACGCTGAACACGCTCAGGGGAGTTAGTATCCTTCACCAGGCACAGGATAGCTGCTTGAATACAGTACTCTAAATGTGTTCTTACATATATGGGATATGAAATTCGAAACGTTTCCTCGTCAAAAGATTTGAACGCTCGGCGAAATTACCATAACTCACGAAAACCTTTGAAAGCGGCTGCTTTGCAATGCATAGTTGTATTTAAATCATGACTTATTACTACTCCTAAGTCTTTATGTTCTTGAGCATATGGAAGAGGTTTACCCTCAATAGTATAACGGTAACTATTACCGTGACCGATGTGCATTAATACACTCTTCCTAGCATTGATTTCTAAGCCCCACTCTCGAGTCCATCTAATTAAATTGTTTACGTCGGCTTGAAGATCCAAATGATCAGCCTTACTTTTTATTGTTCTTCAGATTTTTACATCATCCGCAAACAATAATGTTGACGACCTAAGTAACAATGGTAACTCATTAACGTAGAGAAGGAAGAGCAGAGGGCCTAAGATAGTGCCTTGGGGTACACCACTTTTGACCGGCTTCCAATCGGATGGTATTCCGTTGACCCTCACTCTCTGTCTGCGGTCACATAAGAAGTTTCTTATCCACCCACATACAGTACCTAGTATTCCGAAGCTCCTGAGCTTCTGCATAAGACCTACGTGTGAAACTTTGTTCCAAGTCTTTCTAATACCCAGAATATAATATATTTGTGACAAGCATGTACAGACCGAACGAGCTTTTTTCATTTCCTTCTTGTTGTCTTGACATGACTTCAGGTATTCGGTAACGTTCAATGGGTGGTAGTCTATCCACTCAGCTGCACTTATTTTAGTCATTTTAATAGTTATTTGTGGGTTTGTATACCTTTTAGTCTGAATGCGTGTGTTTGTCTTCAAGCAATATGGTCTTTGAATCCCAGCAAATATCACCTGAACAAGCAAGAGGATTGTTGTTTACAATGCGAAAAACAATAAAAAGGAAATTCGAATGCTAAGAAAAGACGAACGTCTCAAGAACAAAACAAGCAAGTTAATTAGTTAATTGGCGATTCAGACAGAGTTAAGAGGCAGATTTGTAAGAATAAAAGGGAAAACGAAAATAATGATCATAGGTTAATGTTTAATGATGATAATTGTAGATAATTTACTATACATGCATCAAGCACAGCTAGTTTGAAGTGGAGACAGTAATCAGTGGATTAGCGCGTGTGATTCAACTCTTATCTCCGCAGAAAGAGTTGTTGTCGACTCGGCTTAGAGAGGATTCCAAAATGAAGTAACTCTGAATGACAAAGAGTGGGAGCGTACTTTGTCGTCGGTTCTTTGACTTAATTTTCCAGGGGTTACCTCGAAGCGTGTGATGGTGATGATCCGGTAGGATGCTCGTTTTAGGTCGTAGTAGTTAATTTGTTGTATTGCATCATCAAGTAACCTCCTATCCTCCTGTATCACCTCGAGAATAGGTCCAAGTGTGTTTTTATAGACTTTATCACTAGCCCAGTCATACACTTGGTTCCCGTCTTTGTACTTTTTCTGGGAGTTTTCCGTTTATTTTGTATTGGTGTGCGCGAAAACGGTGTGGACTTCAAAGGGAGGTCGTGATTAGGTATCAATCGGTGTCAGGAACAATTCGGAGGTGGTCGTTTTAATTTGCCTCTGCATTAAATGAAGAGCTGAGTTCGCCTTCGTTCCAACTGCCATGCAGTTTGAGCCGGTGTCTAAGATCTCTTCTTACTAGTTCGGGTTGTGATCTGAGTAGAAAATATCGAGCAAAGTTTCATGAAGGATATAAGTTCTTTGTATAAAATGGAGCCAAAATTTTCTTCACACAACACTCCGGCATACGTTGTATTAACCCATTTTGTATACCACATTCCTATATTGTCGCCAGATAATTTTGAATCTCAAATGAATTCTTTTCGTTCTCTATGAGCCTTCAGATCCTCGCATAGCCAGCATAAACTAACGCTGCTAAGCTTGTTTTATCTAGAAGGTCATTAATAAATGTCAGTCACAGATTCGGATCTAAGAATTTTATATGCGAAACTACAGAAGTCTAGACCATTCGAGCCGAGTGGACTTTATTTATCTTGGTACGAATCATCTTATCACTTAGGTAGTTAATAAGCCAAGATAGAACTGGGTCAGTGAAATCCATCTTCGCCATTAAGAGTACGTGCGGCGCCGGGTCAAACCTTTCTGAGAATTCAGGGGATATAGAGAGAGTAGTTAGACAAGTGGACTGACGAGAGTACTGGCGATGCCAGTTTCTGTTGTAATTGGAAAGAGAGGGCTAGATTACCCAAGTTACCGGCAGAGACATGGGTCTTTCAGTTGGTTCAGCTTTCCTTCGTTTTAGTCGGCGGCTGAGATAAAGGGGTTCATATGGTCGAAAACGTGACATGAAAGCCAGCTTTCGGTAAAGAATCACTTGTTCTGGTGTCTTTAGCTGCTTAAATGTGTTGTCTACCAGTATTATATCTACTGGTCAAGTCTAAACTCGAAAAGAATTATGTACGCGACTCTGTTGTCTTTGTAAATCATGATTGTTGTTTTACTTAGCATGGTGTATCTTTTGATTTTAGGGTTTCATTGCAGTCTTTGATGCCCCAATTAATTTAAATATAATTACCTAGACTACGTTTGCTGTTAATGTTATTCTTAATAGCTACATAAAATGTCTCTTTACTTATCATTTTAGAATAGTAATGACATTTTAGCACCTACTGTCAACTTCAATATGATTTAACGATGATGTTTGTAAATCATGGCTTATTTAACTTTGTGTTGTCATCCAGATTAATCATATTAGTATAACATGAAAATAAATGTCGAATGCGAGATGTCGCTAGGGCACGTATATTCCAGATATTCATGTGAGGAGTTAGGCCCAATGAGTAATTAATGAAATTGAATAGGTTCAGATACGAGGAGTTGAACATGATAACTCAACGAATAATGAATCAATCACTCTTTACACACAAGTATGAACTACAGATGACCAACTGAATTTTAAATGCCCAATGCATAAGCCAGCACAGATAAACATTAATTACAATGAACGCTGAATAGTTCATAGGTGTGCATTTATGGAATTAAGCGAGTAGTAAGATGGATGGATATGCTGGCATCTCATATATGTTATCCCGAAACGAAAACTCACAACCGTAAATATGGTTAGTTTAACTTTCCTAACCCTAATGCTCCTAGCCATAGCACTCGTAGATCCAAATATTCTCGATCCTAATCGCTTAAAACAACCTCATCTCCAGATTACGTGTTTTCACTATATCATTTCTCGACTACAGCTAAGTAATATCTTTCAAATCGGTAGTTCAAAATTCTGTGAGAGACCTACTACCATTACGCCAACTGAATTAACCAAAACGCGAATTCGCTTCAAAAACACGATATCCCGTACAAAGATATTATCCGCTATGTAGTAAGTGCTCTCATGCATACATAATTATAGCCCGGTTCAGAAGTCTCCTTGATGATTTTATTTCCGAATGTGAATTGTGTCACCCATTGAGTTTCAATGTGTTTAACAATGGTTTACACAAGCAAGGTCTATTATCTGTCTGATTGACCGAAAAGCAAAGTATAACCTTTGAAACTTTTTTCGTCTGTTTTCTTTCCTTTCTATTCATCATATTATCTGAAGTTTGCTTATGTTGGTGTTTATGATTGTTATTTTTTTTATTTTCATCATGGTTGGCCCCTCGACACATCAGGTATTCTTTACGCTCCTTCTTTTCCTTTTAAATATATTTTATTTCTACGCATTAAAAGTCTATAACTAAAAACAAACTAATTTCTCAGATTCAACTTATCTTCACTACACATAAATAACACATAGAAATTTATATTTGATTATTCTTTGCGATTAATTGTGAATTTCATAACATTCTTCTAAATTATTATTGAATAAAAGTTTATACGAACATCAAGTTTTGCTATGAATCCTATTACAATAATTAGCTTATGTCCACCTAAGTGCAATAAGAAGTTAAAATATGGTTTACTTTAGAGGTCGATATTCATAACATTCTTATAATCTTGGTTGAACCCCGTCACTAAATGTTCATTTCTTTTCTCCATCACTCTTTTCCTTCCAAATAAATATTATTCTTAAGTATCTAAAGTTTGTAACTAAGCTAACATCATGTGTTACACTCAAGTAAATTGCCTTTTCAGGTTCTTCTTATTTTCACAATGTATATAATAATAATAATCACAGTTTGTTACATGAGGCATGTCAGTTTACAGGGAAGATCAAAATGATACAAATGATACGATATACACTGTAGTAAATTACATAGCTGGGTTAATAATTTATAAGATATGAATGTAGATGATTTTAATCAGTAC